CCCGCCCCGGTTTTCTCGTGGAGAAAGGAAGGCAGCGTTAATGCAGGCGCCCTGCGAGCAGACCCAGAAACACCCGGGCAGAGGCGAAAAAGGGAGATTGCAAGATCTCGCTTCTCCAGTTAAATTATGAATATTGAGTTGCGAATGTCGGTTCTGGAGGGGCCAAGGGTGGGGGGTTTTACACGTGTCTGGGGGTGTGCGAGGAAGAGGAGGGGGGGCCTGTTATTTGGGGAATAAGCAGCTTTCCTAGCTGCTCGAAGGCGGCGAATATTTTACCTCGGTATTAAAAAAAAAAATATATATATATACATATATAGCCTTAAGGATAACAAAAACCCTAGCAGAAAGCAAAAACCCCAACCCCGCTGTTGTCCGTGTTATTCAGACATGACTGGACCAGACGGTAAGAGGGCGAGGACAGCGTACACTCGCTACCAGACCCTGGAGTTGGAAAAGGAATTCCACTTCAATAGATATCTCACCCGCAGGAGGAGAATAGAGATCGCTCACGCTCTCTGCCTCTCCGAGCGCCAGATCAAAATCTGGTTCCAGAACAGGAGGATGAAATGGAAGAAGGATAATAAACTGAAAAGCATGAGCTTAGCCTCGGCGGGCAGCGCCTTTCAGCCATAAATTCTAGAGGAGGAATATCGAGGGAAGAAGAGGAGACGAGAAAGGAATACGTAAATAAATAAATAAAGCGCCGCAGATCGTAGTTTTGGAGTACTGTACAGTGAGGCACCTTCTTTTCGGCATGTTGTTGATATTCTAAAACAACGCGTATGGTACCGTTATCCCAGGACTGAGTTCATGTCGTGTTCTGTTGTTTTGTTTGGTTTTTTTTTTTTTAATTTTTTTTAATTAAATTTTATTTCCAGATGCTCCTCATGCTCTTGTTGTTCTTATAAATGTATGTGTCCGTGCTCTCTTGATGCTTTCTGGAAAGCTAGCATGTTTTATGTGAGCCCTTTAAATGTTATAACTTATTTATAAATTGAGAACAGATACGATTGTTTGTTTATTTGTTGGGTTTTTTTTTTCCCCTTTCCTGAGTTTACTGATTTTGGGTGAGTTCTTCTCTGCCTAAGCTAAAATCGGGGGTTCCTGCACTACAGTCGCAGAAAAAAAAAAAAAATTCTAAAAAACCAAACAAAAATGTAAAAAAAAGCAAGAAAAAAAAAAGCAGGAAAAAA